AAGACCTTTAAGATCACCAAGTCCAGCCTATGACCAACACCCCCACATCTCCAGACCATGGCACTAAGTGCCACCTCCAGCCTTTCCTGGAACACCTCCAGGGATGGTGCCTCCACCACTGCCCTGGGCAGTCCATCCCAAGGTCTGATCACCCTTTCTATGGGGAAGTGCTTCCTGATATCCAACCCAAACCTCACCTGGAGCAGCTTCAGGCCAGGCCCTCTCATCCTGTCACTGGCTGCCTGGAAAAAGAGCCCACCCCCACCTGAGCACAACCTCCCTTGAGGTGGTTGTAGAGAGTGAGAAGGTCCCCCCTGAGTCTCCTCTTCTCCAGGCTAAACAACCCCAGCTCCCTCAGCCTCTCTCTGTCAGACTTTCCCTCTAGTCCCTTCACCAGCCTTGTCTCCTCTGGACCTGCTCCAGCACCTCAATGTCCTTCCTGCAGTGAGGGACCCAGAACTGGACACACACCCAAGGTGAGGCCTCCCCAGTGCTGAGCACGAGGGGAAATCAATCTGTTCAGTCTCCGGTGGCTCCGCGCTGCCGGGCACAGGCTGGGCAGGCAGTGCCCATGGGGTCACAAAGCCTAAGAGCTTCCAAAGCCCCTTCAGGGTCCATCACAGCCACGTGTCCTTTTTCCTTCTCCCCTGTTGTGTAGCCTCACTGCTGTCTGACCCTCTCCCTCCTGCAGATCCTGCTCATCTCGGATTATTTCTACGCCTTCCTGCGCCGGGAGTTCTACCTCAGCCACGGGCTGCACCTGACGCGGCCGGACGGGACAGAGGCCGTGCTGGTGCTGAAGTAAGGATGGTGCCCACCATTCCCTGGGACATGGACCACTCTGAGGAACATGCAAAGCTTGGGGCATGTGGGGCGGGTGGGGATGGTTCCCTGAATGAGATCTGACTTTGGGAATGCTACCTGCTGCAAGAAAGGGCTCTGAGGTTCTTCTGGGAATACCCTCCTGAGCTGTGGGCTCAGTGCACAGACACTAAGAACTACAAGTAGGAGCTGCAGTGCTTCCCCTGGAGCATCTCCCTTCATCCCTCAGCTCTGCTCTTCACTGCAATCTCAGTCAGCTACCCTGGGCAGTCCAGCAGGAACCAGAGGAAGTGTCTGAGCTGAAACCAGGGCTGAATCTCTGGCCCAGAAATAGCTCAGACCATAAACTCTTTACCCTCACTGCTTCTTGGGGATATTTACTTCTCCTGGAAATGTCCCCTTCACTGCTCTGACCAGCCCTGCTCCTGCTTGGCATGAGGCCACCTCTGGGAGCCTGGTGCATAAGCCCTGGATGCAGATGCCATTTCTTGGTTCTACTGTCATGAAAACTGGACAAATCAGATGTGCTTAGGCACAGTGGGTGCTTGGAAATAAATCATGACCAGGATGAATGACCTCTTGGAAGGAGGACCTCTGAAGCTGCTGCCACAGGTAATAAATCTTGGAGCTCGAACACTAGTAAGAGCTGGAACTGTGGTGAGAGCAGGAGCAGGTGGGTGCTGGGGAACTGCTGTTTGCTGTTGAAGCAACACAGACATGTCCATGTTGGGAGCTGCACAGAGGCTGTGCAGGGTCTCAGAAGAAAGAACACATTCCCACTGCTCCTGATTTCTGTAGGGTAACAAAGGCTGGCAGTGCAGGGCTCACACTGTACAGCTGACATTGCTTGGGCAGCAGCCTGGATGTGGAATGAACAAGCTGCCTGCCTGGCTGGGGACCAGGAGGTGTCAGCATCTCCCCTTGGAGGCCCCAGACCAAATCCAGAAGGAGCCTTGGCCACTGCTGTGGTGGGGTTGTTGGGCTCCAGATGTTCCACAGCTGCTCCGCCCTGGGCTGCTCACTTCCCTGTGTTACCCTCACAAGGGCAGGGATGGTCTCTTGTGGCTGTGTGCAGGTTCTGTGGAGGCAGCAGCCCCTGGATCCCCCTGCTCTCCTCTGTGCTCAGTCCTGCTCCTTTCAGAGCTGCTGCCTCTGCTCACCCTGTAAATGTGACCCACCAGGTGAAGCCACCAGCCTGGCTGCTGGCTCTGCTGGCTGCCTGGTGGCAGGGAAGTGGCACCTGCAGTGTGAAAACCACCTCACTGATGGCTTCCCCACTGATCCCAAGAAAAATCCAAAGGGCTGGGAATGTCACACCACTGAAACCAAACTGGACCTGGCACAGAGTGCCTGGGAGACAGAGGTGCCCAAGCAGTTGTGTAAACAGGTTTTCTTTCTTTCTGGCCAACTACAAGTTCTGCCTTACTGCACTGCTCTTCGTGCTTTGGTGGGGCTGGGAGTCCCAGCCCAGCTCCTGGGGAGGCACCAGCCATGGGGGAGGCACCAGGACAGGGCTGCTCAGGGCACGGGAGCACAAATAAACTGCGAGTTTGAAACACCTCTGAGTGCTCTGTTGGGGGGAGGAGGGTGAGCCCAGAAGGCCAACGGGATCCTGGGCTGCATCAAAAGAAGGTTGGCCAGCTGGTCGAGGGAGGTGATTTCCCCCCCTCTGCTCTTGTGACACCCCACGTGGAGAACTGTATCCAGTTATGGAGCCCCCAACATAAGCAGGTCATAGAGCTCCTTGAGTGACTCCAGAGGAGGGTGACAAAAATGATCAGAGGGCTGGAGCAGCTCCTCTGTGAAGACAGGCTGAGGGAGTTGGGGTTGTTCAGCCTGGAGAAGAGGAGGCTCCCTGGTGATCTTAGAGCAGCTTTCCAATATCTGAAGGGGACTACAAGAAAGCTGGGGTGGGGCTTTTTGCATGGGCGTGTAGTGAGAGGACAAGGGGCAATGGTTTAAAACTTGAAGAGGGAAGATTTAGATTAGATACTAGGGAGGAAATTCTTTATTATGAGGGTGGTGAGAGCCTGGCCCAGGCTGCCTAGGGAAGCTGTGGCTGCCCCATCCCTGACAGTGTTGAAGGGCAGGTTGGATGGGGCTTGGAGCAGCCTGGGCTGGTGGGAGGTGTCCCTACCTGTGGCAGGGAGTTTGCATCTAGATGATCTTTAAGGTCCCTTCCAACCCAAACCATTTTGTGATTCTATGGGGGGGCTGACAGTGAGGGGGGGGGGCACTGGGGAGCACTGAGAGACACATGGAGGGGCCTTGAGGGGACTTGAAGGCAAAGAGAGGGATGAGGAGGGAAAACAAGGGGCCCTGGAGTGTGCCCAAAGGCAAATATGGTTCTGGGGCACTCTGAAGGTTTTAGGAAGTGCCAGCTCCAACCTGAGAGCAGGAGAACTTCAGACAAGGGTGAAGACCTGGGGCTCTCTGGGGGATCTCCGTGTGGCAGTCTCCCTCTTCCTGCAAAGTAGAACATAATTCACCCATCAGAAGGAGATGATGCTGACAGGAGCATTTCTTCCTGTCGCCATGCCCAGCTGGGCCTTTTCTGTGTAGCTGAAGATACCAATGTTATAAATGTTGTGTGACACACAAAGGTTTACTCCTCAAAACCTTCCTCAGAAGTTGTTTTCCAAACAACACCTCAGCAGACTTGTCAATAGAAGGAATCTTGTGGAAGGACTTGTTGAAATCAAAGTGTATAAAACTGGGTGTCAAGAAGAGGGACTGGTCTCTTCTCAGTGGTGCCTGTGATAGGATGAGGAGCAATGGCCATAAACTGGAACACAAGCAGTTCCACCTCAGCATGAGGAGAAACTTCCCTGTGAGGGTGACAGAGCCCTGGGACAGGCTGCCCAGAGAGGCTGTGGAGTCTCTTTCTCTGGACACTTTTGAGACAGCAACTGGACACATTCCTGTGATCTCTGACCTTCCTCTGAGCTTACGGAGCTCTGTGGAATGGAATATCTCTGGCCAGTTTTTCTGTCTGTCTAACTCAGCCTCCTACGGGGGGGTCACAGATCTCCCCGCAGTGTCTGAGCCGGCAGAGTGAAAGTGTGACCTTGAAGCCCCAGGAGTTACAAAAACATTCCAGTGTCTTATCAGCTTCAGAAGAACACACTGTTGCTCATTAAAAGAAAGCTCACTGAAGGAAAAAAAAATTGTAAAAAGGAAAATTGGCTTCATCCTCAAACCAGGACAGACCTGCCTGAGGGGATTCTGCTCTGGCAGGGAGTTGGACTCAATCTCCAGACGTCCCTTCCAACCCCAACCATTCTATGGTTCTAGGACAATGCAGTGGTAAGTGCAGTGCCAGGGACAGGGGCAGGGACAGCAGGGGTGGGGATATGGGAAGGACCAAGGTAGGGTCATGGGCACGGCAGAAGCAGTGGTAGCAACAGGGGCTGGGTACAGGCCAGGGACAGGAAGCAGCACTGTCATGGGTGTGGAAGGGACAGGGACAGATGTGGGGCAGAAACAGGGGCAGGAGCAGAGACAGGGACAATGATGGCCACCCCACAGCAGCTCGGTCAGGGACTGGATACCCCATCCTGGCTCCTCAGCAGCAGGTGGGTCCCAGGGGAGGCTTTGGGGGGCTGCTGGGACCTCCTGGCCCACCCAGGGCCAAGTTGCAGCAGCGCTGGGCACAAGGAACCCCCCCTGCCTGGGGCCACCATCAGAGCCTGGTAGGAGCAGTGGAGCTGGGACCAGGGCAGCCAGGACCAATGGGGCAGCAACAGGCCCTGCCATGGGTGTGAGGAGCACCCCCAAAAGCCTGCAGTGGGGCCAGGGTCTGGGCCAGGCCATTGTGACTGCTGTGCCACACACAGGGCCCACAGGAACTCCTGTGTTAGCATCAGTGGGACTTTGGGGTTGGCCCTGCAGGGTCATGGCCATGCTGGCTGCTTTGAGGGGCACCAGTGGGAAGGGAACACCCTGGGGCATTGCAGAGCCTGCCTAGCTTGCAGGAGCTTCTCCAACAGCACCTGAGGCAGGAGATGCCTTGGCCAGGGGGTTCACTCCTGCAGCCCCCCAGCCCTGTTTCTCCCATGGCCCCCAGAGCAGGATGTCAGCCCAGGCTGCCCCTGCCAGCAAGAGGGACACGTGCCACCAGGTCGGCTGGGCAGGTGTTGGCAGGTGCTGCAACCATTGCAACAGTCGTGTAGAAAGAACAACACAGGTCTGAGCTGCCTGTTGCTCCCAAAACAAATCCTGGGCAGCAGCTGGGATGCCAAGGAGGTGACAACCACCAGTCACCTGGAATGCTGGACACCTGGGCCAGCCCCAGGTGGGAATGGCTGTGCCTGGGGACACATCCTGGACCCCCAGGAGCTGGGGCAGGCTGCTGGCATCCCCACCCCCCTGCATCTGTAATGGCTTCTACAGTTCCTGGACAATTAGGGCTTCCTATTCAAGCCTGCTGGGTAATTAAAACAGTTTGTTTACTCCAGGTCACACGGGTGGCAGGATGGACAGGAGAAAGGTGACTCTGGAACATGAAGCCCAGCACTGGCAATGGGGGCACCAGGAGGAGCTGCACTTCAGTGCCCATCACTTCCAAAGTGCCTCTAACTCCTTCCTATACTGCAAGTTTCTCCTTTTCAGTCAACGTGTAGTTGCCCTCAGAACCTCTGCAGCTCCAGCTCCAGAATCCCAAGGGTCAACCTCAACTTTCCCCTGGTGCTCCTGCCCGGGGCTCGGGTGGGACCGTTGTACCCGGAGCAGAGCACAGCGCTGCTGGGGGTGCCGGCCGAGCACCTGCTCACAGAGAAGGGCTGGTGGGAGTTGTAGGAAATCCCCAGGGGCACCCAAGGGAGTCCCGTTCTCAAGGGGTTGTGCAGCCAAGCAGAGAGGGTCCCATCTGGGCTGCCAAACCAAAACCAAGAAAGTCCAAGTGCTGTTCAGTCAGGATCTTTATTCACAGGGGCAGCTCCTCCAAAAAAGTGCACCTTGCAGGGTGAGGTGAGAGGTACATACACACCTGATAGCTAAATATGGGCGATATTTCTAAGAAACAGTTTACTTATTCATCAGTTTCCCAATAAATCATTTACATAAGTGTCTGCCCATTATCACATGCGTGTTAAGCCCATTTGGGTCTCCTAGGAGTCGTTTACTTCATCCTTGAGTCTTCCTCACAGGAACCTCTGGCCAAGCTCTGTAGGCCCAGATGAGACATTTACACCCTACAAGCAGTTAACTGTTTGAAGTCAGAGTTTGGTTAATGCTGTTTCATTCTCTCAGCAGTAACTATAAATATCCAGGTGTTTCCACTGGCTGGAAAACTTGCTGCTGCTTTCAGCAAGTGGCTGCTTAGAAGGGAGTTCACTGAAGGAAAATAAATCAGGGAAAAGAAAATTTGCTTCATCCTGGCTCAAACCAGGACATTTTACATGTTACTCACAGGCTGTGTTCTCCTGAGGGCCAAGGTAAGGATTCTCCCCCAGAGTGAGATTTCCTTGAGGTGCACATTGTGCTTCACCATCCTCCATCATCACACACCAGGTATGTCCAGGTCCCTGAAAAGCAGCTCCACAGGTTTTACTTTCGCCCAAAGCAGGAAGAACCCAAACACTTTCCCCAGCAGATTCCTTTCACACCTCCCA